TTATAGACTGCTATAAAGATCTTTTAGATACTTTTTCTTTACTACAGGTTTTATTTTTCGTTTTTGAGATTCTTTGTTTCAACTCATAAAACTGTGTCATACATTGAATACTCAAAACTATTTCATGCTCTGTACCTATTATTATTATTATCATTACTTTAAGTGTAGTTTTATTACATAAAGATATGTCTACACAAGTTTGTTTGTCTGACCTTGTGAAATCTTTTCAAATAGACCAGGGTTTATAAATCTAACACATAATGCATTGCTTAAATGATATTTGAGAAAATGATAAAATAAAGAAAATTCAAGTGAAGGGCATGGAAACTACCTCAAATGTTTTGCGTGTAATGGCTAATTATAACTTTTAACATGTTTTGTGTATCTTCACCAAATTTCACAAGCTTTCAGTAAACATTACAAGTCTTTTGAAGACAAAAAAGTATAATTTTAACGAAGTATGTGTACTAAAAATTTCTCCATGAATACATGAAGACAAAATGTTGACTACTCCAAGTTCAAAGTAATTTACAGGTAGTAAATAAATTAAAGAGGGTAGACCTAGTGAGCAAATATCACAATTCTAATATTATGGAAGATTGAGGATTTTTTAAATATTCTCTTATAAAATTAAGAGCTTAAACTTATAAAATATTGTAATTTGATTTATCAACTACGTTTTGGTGCCAAGTTTATTTGTATACTACAGTAATAAAGTACTTCAATTTAACTTTGAACGTAACTTTCTAAAAAGCCAACATGCTCATTTTGACCTGCCCATGGCAAGAGGGGTAATATCTTAAGCTATTTTAATATTTGAATTACATTTTGAATATGAGTTGTATCAATATTTTTAAACAAAACACACAGAATTCTGACAAAATTTTGTACCTCACAAGCTGAGAAAGAGCATACCTGACCAGCTTGTTGCTGAGTTTTTAATTGGTCAGCTTGCAATAAAGCTGACCAGTTCTGCTGTCGAATCAGTTCCTTCACCTCTTCAATACTCATATCAATTCTATAGTTAAAGTCTCCACACCAGAATACATAGTCATGGGAGTTCAGAGTTCGTCCCTAGAAAATAGATCTTTAATAATTATTACCCATACTACTATAAACTACAAAGAATATTTAGAAAGAAAATAGATTTCATTTACTGTAGGTCAACTGCATTAGAGTACAAACAATAAATGTACGCTAATGGTGTTGAGGACACAGGCAGCTAAACATTAATTCTAAATATAGTCCACAATAACTATCTTTCATGAAATGGACGCATATATATGTAACTTGGCAAATCATGCCCTAGCCATTCCATTTATTTATGCTTTTCCAGATTTTGCCAAAAAACTTGGCAAACTACTGTAATTTTCTGTGGTTGGGTCAGATTTTGCTTGTTAATTAACTAACATCCATGTATAATAAAAGTATTCAGGAGCAAATAAAAAAAGAGAGTTTCATCTGAAGACATCTCAGTGCCAATGTAACAAGTCTCCTTATTACACATTATTAGCTAAAAATATATGCAACAAAAATCCATGAAAAAGTAGGCTACAACAAAGTATTCCAAAGTTAAAAGTTTATGTTTACAGAGCCTAAAGTTCCTGCATAAAAATTATGTTCATTTGCCAGACATCATTAAAAAATTTTCCCTAACAAAAATGTTCAAATTTTCCCTGATCAAAATCTGTAAATTAACTTTACATGTATATATGTATATACAAAAAAAAACATATATATATATATATATATATATATATATA